TCTTTGGCCTGTCCAATGCATAGGTAATCGTCTTCTTTGGCCTGTCCAAGGAGACCCAAACCTGCAGTGGCGGTCATGCATCCCATCCCTCACCTCCTACACAGGTGGCCAGCAGGGCACGCGCCCCCCCGCCCCCCCAGTGCAGGAGGCCTGAGGGAGGCACGTGGCCCCCCCAGCACAGGGGGCCATTGGGGGCACGCCCCCCCACTCCACCGCACGGGCGCTCGGCTGGTGTGCGGCCTTTCTTGTGCAGGTGGCCGGAGGGTGCCTGCTTCCCTCACAGCCGCCATCCTGGCTCCAAGAATTCTCTCCAGATCAAGTCCACTTTGCGGCAGTGTGGTGGCTTCACTGTACCAGTCTTGAGGAGGGCTGGTGCCCAGCATCCATCCTGGGTGAGGGAATCGATTCGTTCTGGCTGTGGAAGCCTCATGGAGCTGCAGTGGCTGTGTGGCACAGCGAGGGCTCTGTAGGGCGTGGGGTTTGGGAGCCGCGAGACTCACCCATTTCTCCTTGGGAATCCTTGAATTCCTGTTGTTGAGCCTCGATCTTCACTGAGGACCAGTCATCAGCTGTTTAAGTGTTCAATTATCGATAAGCCGAAGTCTGTGGAAGGCCATAATGGCCCTGCTTTAAGTGGTTCGCTGCTCCCGCAGCTCACCACACTGTCTCTGTCTCTGCCGCCATCTTGGATCTCAATCCAGTATTTCACAACCACCTTTAAAAAAATTTTACTGTATATTAGTTTGCTTACAATGTTCATATACATTGTGTTGCACACTATCCTTCATTCACATTGTGATGAATTCCTTTTTTCTTCCCTCTCCCCCTTCCAAAAACAATTGGAGCAATATGTCAACAGAGATCTGCCAGATGTGCAGGCTGGTTTTAGAAGAGGTCGTGGTACTAGGGATATTATTATAATTAATGTTATATGGATCTTGGCAGAAAGCAGAGAATACCAGAAGAATGTCTATTTGTGCTTTATTGACTATGCAAAGGCTTTTGACTGTGTGGATCACAACAAGCTATGGCTGACTCTGAAAAGAATGGGAATCCCAAACATTTGATTGTGCTTATGTGATAACTAAACTTGGACCAAGAGGCAGTCGTCAGAACAGAGCAAGGAGACACTACATGGTTCAAAATCAAGAAGGGGGTTTGTTTAGGGATGTATCCTGTCTCCATACCTTCTCAATCTGTATGCAGAACAGATCATCCAGGACGCTGGGCTGTATGAGGAGGAATGTGGCATCAGGATTGGTGGAAGAGTAATCAACAACCTGCATTATGCAGATGAAAATGAGGAGGACCTGAAGCACTTGCTGCAGAAGGTCAAGGACTGCAGCCTTCAATATGAATTGAAGCTCAACATCAAGAAAACAAAAATTCTCACCACTGGACCAATTGGCAGCATCAGGATGGATGGTGAAGAGATTGAGAAAGCTGACAGTTTTAGTTTGCTTGGCTCCTTAGTCAACAGTCTTGGTACCAGCAGCCAAAAAATAAAGAGGTGAATTGCATTGGGAAAGTCTGCTGTTAGGGACCTCTCCAGAGTACTGAAGGGCAACAACTTCAGGCTGGAGAATAAAGTGCACCTGATCCGGGCTATAGTTTTTGCAATTACATGCTATGCATCCGAAAGTTGAACAATGGCTAGGGATGATAAAAAGAGAATAAATACCTCTGAGCTGTGGTGCTGGAGAAGAGTGTTGAATATACCATGGACTGCTAGGAGAAGAAACAGGTTTGGCATGGAGAGGATGAAATCGTGCTGCTCCTTGGAGTCAAGGATTCTGAAGCTTCCTATGACATACTTTGGGCATATTGCAAGGAGGACCGGTCCTCGGAGAGGGACACCATGTTTGGAAAAGTGGAGGGACAGCACAGGAGAGGAAGACCCTCGATGAGATGGATGGATTCTGTGATTTGGGTGGTGGGAGTAAGTGTGTCAGAGACAGTGAGGTTGGCACAGGGTAGATCAGGGTTTAAGGCTCTTGTATATACAGCACATATCAACAACTAACAACTCTCCCTTCCTCCTCTGTTTCTTTCCTTTATTCTAGAGCAGGTAGGGTTCTGGATGTAAAAATGCTCAAACATAAATGGATAAGGAACGCAATGCAACCTTATTCTTATAGAACCGTGAAGAAAGAACAATGCATTGTCCTTTCATTCTTGACATATACTAATCGAGTTCTATTTGATGAATATAATTTCGAGGACTATTCATTTAGTTGCAAGAAGCTGCGTTGCAGTCTCGAAGACACATTATTCTAACCCACCAGCTGCTTTGTGGGAGAAGGATAGGCAATCTCCTCCGGTGCGATTTACTGCCTCTGCAAACCCGCTGGAGAGTCAGCTATGGATCTCTTTGGATTCTACGACATGCACTTGATGAAGAAATGATTTCTTTTTTTCACAATTTTAAAAATGAATTTTAATGAACGTTTACAGAGATTTTGGATTTCCATTCATTCATTGTTGCACTTTTCTCCCCCCACCCCAAGTATACTCCACTCTGCAACCTTCATTTCGGACTCTTACGATAATCATAATACCCTATAATATATTGCTTTTAAATTGTTCTTAATAGAGAAAGTCAGTGAGTGGTAGACCAGAATCTATATCAGCCCTTCAGTTTTCCGGTTTTGAGATGACCTGCTCCTCCACCTGTCTGCTAACCTGACTGTGCCAGTGACCCCCTCTGCTCATTGACAGAAGGGAATAATAGCGCCCCCGGGGCGACGCAGAAGTCCACGCAGCGGTGGGCGGAGCCCGAGGAGCTGCGCGCGCATGCGCCCCCGCGGCTTTCCCTGCCAACCGTTTGTTCCTAGCAACAAGGTGACAAGCTGCTGGCGGACCAGAGCGCTGCAGTCATGAATCCGCCTGGGGCGCTGGACATGTTGGACGAAAAAGAGGACAAGGACGCATCAACTCACTTTTTCGCTCCCTCCGTACATTCGAAAAACCCTCAGGAGCGGATCCAGGCCCGGCGCCTCCGCATAGCTGCGCGCCTGGAGTCTCGGAGGCGGTGAGGTTGGGGTGCCCCGGGCGGAGGGGTGCTTCTGCAGCAGGCGGGGAATCCCGGCGGTGCGGGATCGATGCCCTCAGTGTGAGCGGAGCTTAGTGACGTGAAACAATTCAGTGACATTCATCAGATTGACAGCGTTGTGCAACCATTACCACTATTTGTGTCCCAAACCGTCTTATTAAAAAAATCACCATCCCCCAAATTACACACACTTTGAGTAACAGAATCTTCATTCTCTTCTCGGCCTCAGCCAGCTTCTAATGTTTCTGGCTTTATGCATTTACCTGTTGTAGATATATAAGTGCAATTTGTCATTTTGTGACTGACTTACTTTACATAATAAGTGTTTTAAAGGTTCATCCATATCAGAACACGTGTTAGAACTTCATTTCTCTGTGTGATTAAATAATAGTCCATTGTTGTTTGTTTATCCATTTGGCTGTTGATGAACATTTGAATTGAAGATTTTTTTTTTCTTGAGGATGGATATTTCTTCAGAAGGATCAACTAAGATAAGTTGTTGTTATGTGCCCTTGATTTGCTTGTTGACTCATAGCTACCTTGTGTACAACAGCCCTGGAACCTGCTCTATCTTGTGCCAACTTTACTGCCTCTGACACACCTACCCTCATTAGCCCATTTACTAAATCCATCTTATCAATGGGTTTCCTCTCTTTCACTGTCCCTCCACTCTTCCAAGCTTGATGTCCCTCTCCAAGGACTGGTCCCTCAACATGCCCAAAGTATGTCAGATGGAGCTTCATAATCCTTGCCTCCAAGGATCATTCCGGCTTCACTCTCTCTAGGACAAACCCGTTTGTTCTCCTGGTGGTCCATGGTATATTCAGCACTCTTCTCTAGCACCACAGCTCAAAGGCATCAATTCTCTTTCTATCATCCCTAGTCACTGTCCAGCTCCCTGACGCATAGCTGAATCCGAGGAGGACCTGAAGCACTTGCTGCAGAAGGTCAAGAAGGACTATGGTCTTCTATATGGATTGAAGCTCAACATCAAGGAGACAGAGGTTCTCACCACTAGGCCAATTGTCAGCACCATGATAGAGAAGAGATTGGGTTGCTAAAAGCTTTAGCTTACTTGACTCCACAACCAACACTCTTGGCACTAGCAGTCAGGAAATGAAAACACTAATTACACTGGGAAAATCTGCTGTCAGGGACCTCTCCAGAGGACTAAGAAGCAATGATGTCAGTCTAGAGACCAAGGTGTGCCTGATCCGGGCCATGGTCTTTGTAATTACTTGTTATGCATCAGAGAGCTGTACAATGCCTTTGAGTTGTGGTGCTGGAGAAAAGTCTTGAACATACCATGGGCCACCAAGAAAACAAATAGGTCTGTCTTGGAGAGGATGAAACAAAGTTTCTCCTTGGAGGCTAGGATTTTGAGGCTCCATCTCACATACTTTGGGTGCATGGTCAGGAAGGACTGGTCCTTGGAGAAGGACATCATGCTTAGGAGGGTGGAGGGACAGTTCAGGAGAGGAAGATCCCAGATGAGATAGATTGATATAGGCAATAGGGGTATGTTTGTCAGAATCAGTGAGATTGCCTCAGGGCAGGGCAGGGTTCAGCCCTGTTGTACATAGGGTATGTCACAAGTGACTTGATGGCACATAACAACAACAACATGGTAGAGTGAGGAAAATGGGGAAATCTCTTGTAGAGATTTAACCCTGGAAGCCTGATGGAGGCTTTTGAAGAGCTGGAACCAACTCAGTGTTCATAGGTTTGGTTTGGTGTACGAGAGGGAAGGAGCCCTCATGGTGTAATGGTTAAGGGCTTTCAATATTATCCTTGAAACTACACCCATTAAGTAATAAACTCCTCATTCAGTTATGCATGAAAGGTTGACAGTTTGAATACATTAGCTGCCCTGTAGGAGAATGACCTGATGGTCAGCTTCTGTAAAGACTGCATCTTTGGCAACTTCTACTGTGGCCTGTAGGGCCAATGTGAGTTGGTGTTAACCAGGTCTCGGTGAGATTTCATAACAGTGGAAAGGAGCCCAGCAATGCAATGGTTAAGTGCTCAGCTGTTAACCTAAAGTTGGAGACTAGAGCCTTTCCCATAGTTCTGGGAGAGAGAGGCCAGGCAGTCCCTTATTATGAAGATGATACATGAGGAATTCTATTGGGGGAGGGTTCTAGGGTTGTAGTCGACTCCAAAGCACATAACAACAACAACTCACCTGACTATGGGTTGCTGTGAGTTAGAATGGACTTGAAGATACCCAACAACAATGTACTAGCAGTCTAGAATTCCTGAATGGTATACATGGTTAATACATTTGGCTGCTACTCCAAGCCTGGCGATCAGCCATTGAAAACCCCATAAACACACATAGGTTGCCATGAGTCCGATTCAGTTCAATTGCTTTTGTTGTTCTAAGCGACCGTATGAACAATATCCCTGAAACCTGCTCTATCCTTTGCCAACTTTGCTGTCTCTGACATACCTACCCTCATTACCCCAGTTACTAATCAATCCATCTCATTGACTGTCTTCCTCTCTTTCTCTGTCCCTCCACCCTTCCAAGCATGATGTTGCTCTCCAAGGACTAGTCCTTCCTTGCAACATACTCAAAACATTAAAAAAAGATGGAAGGAGTATACAGATTTACTATACCAAAAGGAATTGGCTGACACAGAAGAATTTCATGAAACAATGTATGAGCAAGAGCCTGTGGTGTTGAAGGAAAAAGTTCAAGCTACTCTGAAAGAATTGGCAACAAAGCTCCAGGAATTGATGACATACCAATTGACATATTTCAACAAACAGACACTGCCTTGGATGTGCTTACCAAGTTGTGACAAGAAATCTGGAGGACAACCCCCTGGCCAAGTGACTGGAAGAGATCCTATATGTTCCCATTGAAACCTGCTTCAGTTCAATAGCAGGTGGGAAAAAAAGGCAACAAAGGCAGATAACCCATTGTCATTAAGTCCATTTCACCTCATGAATTAAAAACCAAACCCATTGGGGAGCTCTGGTGGCCTAGTGGCAAGAAGCTGCAACTATAATCCCAGAGGTGCACGGTTCGAATCCACCAGATGCTCTGCCGGGGAAGGAGGGGCAATCTCCTCCTGTACCAGTCAGATCTGATTTGACGGTACACGCACACAAAAATAATAAAATAAAACAAAACAAACAAACAAACAAAACCAAACCCATTGCCATCATATTCACACCCCCTCCCCCAGGACAGAATTAAATGGCCCCATAAGGTTTCTGCAAAGCTCTAATGTTTATGGAAGCACATTTCCTTGCCATTCTCTCCTGGAGCAGCTGGGCAGTTTGAAAATACTACCCTTTCAGTTGGTATGTCAGTGCCTAACAACTGTGCCATCAGGGTTCTTTTCTGTAGGGATTAAGCCAAATCTGCTGCTTTTATTGTGTTTCTAAGACTGTAAGTCTTTATAGCAGGAGACTACCCATCTTACCCTAATAAAACTGTAATCTTTTTTATTCCCTTAATTAAAAGGCTTTCTTCATTTGTTAAGAATTCAAATACTTCAAGGGAGTGCTGATGGCTTAGTAGTAAGAAGTTGCCCTGTCAACCTAAAGGCACATGGTTTGAATTCACCAGCAGCTCCTCTGGAGAAAGTTGAACAGTCTCCTCTCCTGCAGTTTGCTGCCGCTGGGGGAGGTGGAGGTCAGCTATGAGTCTGTTTCGACTTGACAGTGCCCAACAACAACAACAACAAATGCCTCAAAAGTAGCATCCATGGTAGTCTGGTGTATGCTACTCTGTGCACTTCATCTTGGCGGAGAAGTGAAGTGTGACATTCTACACGCATGACCTCATGCAGGGACACTCGTGTTCATCTCACACATGAACAAACTGAGCTGCAGATAGTACAATCGATGTTGCCAAAACTGGACTGAGATGGGTCCAGACAGGATACGGAACCACGATAGTGAGAGAAGGGCACAGGCAGGGAGGAGGCTGTGGGAGGGGGGAGCTGTGTGGGGAATGTGACAATAAGAACAGACCATGGGGCTTTGGGAGGAGAGGTCAGCTTGCCCATGCTGGGGCAGTTTTACAGAACATGGGCTCTTTCCTCTTTTCTAAGAGTCTAGGAACTAATGCCAATAGCCTTGGAATTGAGGAAGCAGTGTCTGGGTTTTCCTAGTGTGCCAGAGGTGAGCTTCCTCCGGGCATTTTCTCACTTGCCCCAGCAAAGTAACACTGAGCCCCTTCTATCTGTTACCATGGAACAAAGATGTGAGATACACTGACTGCTTACTCCTTTGGAGACATTCCCTGATCAGTAGGGAAGGGTGTGCAGAAATATGGTAAACAGCTGGCGGAAATACTATGTATTTATTCTGTTGCATACATTCCATACTTTCTCATAGAAATATTATGAGAGTTGACAGGTGTGTGGGGTGGAGATGAGAGGTTTATGTCTTTTCTGGGAGGTCAGGGAAGCCTGTGAGATTGTTGCAGCATCCCCTGATGGAGAAGAGATGTCAGAGAAAAGAACTTGCCTAGGATACATGGGTACCTGGTGCCAACCCACAAGTGAGGACCCAGAGACAGCTCCATGGCACATGTGACTAATTTCTTTAACAACTGGGAAAGGCCACACCAATTCAGTATGACAGGATTTCCAGGGCTGTGGGGGAATGAGGATTTGTGGGCTGAAGGAAGTTTGGAGATCAGTTTGTGGACTGTTGATATAAACCCATAATCTTGAGTATTCTCTGATTTCTGTATGTTGGCCGTTGCAGTGAATTATCAAACCCCATAAAGAAGCAGTGAATCTTGCAAGAGGGAGGTTGGTGTTAGACTTGGTAGAAGCATCTTGGGAGCTTGGTTGGTGGTGAGTCTGAACACACAGGCATTGACTTTGCACTTTTGGTGTTGTTGACAAGGATTCTTCCCCTTGTGAAGCTGGCAGAGGTCAGATGCTGCTTTCCCCATGCCTGCCACTCAGCCATTACAAAGGATGGAATGACAGAAGTGACCATTGTTAGAC